CCTGTCCCCCCCGTCCCCCCCACCGCTCCCCGCCACTGGTCCATAGAGCGTGAGGCGATGACTCGCCCGTCATGACGTCACCTTGTTTACCTTTGCTATTGGGGACGCCGCCCACGCTATTTTTAGCAACAAACGTGTGTGACGCCGAGTTGCTATTTTTATCTCCAGCCGCTTGTGAACTGTGACCTTTGGCCTCAATCGCCGTGCTGGGATTGGCGTGTGCTGAGGCTGTGGCTGAATGTTCTGAGAGGGAGAGTTTGTCAGTTGACTCGCCCTTCTCACCCATGACGAGGTCAAAGCCACTGGTCATCTTTAACATCTGGAAGTGACGGTTGAGAAGTGGACTGTCGGGGTCGGACTGTCTCCCTGCCCCCACGGGGAGCACCACTCGGCGTGACGTCACGGCTAGAAAGTTATCCTTGGAGGCCAGAGAGTGCGGGGGCGAATCTGAGCCATCGTCGGCCTGTTTCCCGCTGCCTTTACTGCGCCGAAACATTGTGTCTTTGTTTTCTTCTTTCCTTCCCTCCTCAACCAGACCCTCTCTGTATGTGGTTGGGTGGAGCGCTAGAACATTGTCATATATGTTTCCTTCCTCTCCTTCCTCTCCCTCCTCCACCTCTCCCTCTCCTTCCTCTACCTCTCCCTCTTCTACCCCGGGAGGGAAGGGACGAGCAGACGAGAAGGGTTGCCCCTTTGGAACCGGAAGCGAGGCCAGGGAAGCTGAAGCGTTCACTGACCTTTCCCTCACATGCAAGCCACACACAGACTTGTCGTGAGTCCGGGGCTGAGGACCGAGAGGACGAGATGGCCGACTGACGTCACTGACCAGTGTCCGGTCCCGTGGACAGATCTCCTCACGATCTCCTCCTTGGCCGTCTGTTGACTTTGGCCCCACCGGTCTACCAACACGGAACGTTTCTGAGGCAGGAGAAGCAGAAGCTAACTGAGGGAAGTCATCACGATCCACCTTACCTGTCCCCTCCTTATCCTCGTTATCCTCCGTATCCTCGTTATCCTCGTTATCTCTCCTCCTCCCCACCCGCAGGTCGCCGACGTGTGTAAACTTCCCCTCGCCACAAGCCACAGATTTGTCACTAGAATCCAGAATAGAAATCACAGCTCGGAGAAAGTTTTGAAGAAAAAGTTTACGATCCAACTCTTCCCGAAGTCGCGAGATGTCGCAGGACACAGCACTCAGGGCGTCCCCGACACGGCCCAATACAGTCGCCGACCCACCACGGACATCCGCCTCTCTCAGGTCTGCTAGATCTCTCACCACCGCGGGGAGGGGGGGTCGGGGGGGTCGGGGGTCGGTGCTGTACCTGTGGGCCCACTCTTCCACAAAGCCCGCGCGGAGCTGACACAGGCGCTGGTGGCGAGAGCTGCCCCTCATCCCCCCACACCTCGGCGTTCAGAGAAAGGTAGAGAAGGTATGGCCCCACACACGCCGGCCTGTGGCAGAGATAGCTATGTGAGTCTATGGCCGGTAGGAAGGGCCCTTAGCTTGACGCTCAGTGCAAGAACGTATGGGCCCTTTGCCTGGCCCCCACACCCACACCTCTACCAGCGCGACACGCACAAACACACGCACACACGCGCACACACACACACACTCTCTCGTGTAGATTTACACACATTCACGAGAAGAGGCGCGTAGTTTCCAGGTGTGGGACATATGACCTCGCGCCTTGCCTCCGCTCATCGCCCCGTGGCACAACACGACAGCGAGATCTAGACCAACAGTACACTACACAACACTGGCCACACTGACTGGCATAAACACAACAGCTAGTCTAGGTCTAGGTCTACAGCACAACCACTCTCTGGTGCAACAGTCCAACACGCTAGATGAACAGAACAACAACCCTTTAGCCAACGAGCCACACAACCACAGACAACCCTTCACCACCGGCCCACACCTGCCTCTCACAAAAGCGGAACCGTCCTGACTTCATCAACTCACCCGCTAGTCTATCGAGATGTCACAAGCACTCCCTCATTCACCACAACGCGCATGTTCCTCGTTCTCTCACTCCAACAACAACACCCTCATTCACCACAACGCGCATGTTCCTCGTTCTCTCACTCCAACGTACAACAGTGACGCGAGCCTTGCCCGACTGTCCGTTAAAACAAAAACCACACACACACACACACACACACCAGGAACAACAGGCCAACAACAGGTGGGTCTGTCTCCCGCCGCGTGCATGCCGGATCTGTTGAGCGCGCGGCCCAGACAATAAATGGGCGTGGCTTGCGTGACGTATCTCTCTGTTGTTGGCATGCGAGAAATGGGGGTGGGGAGGGGGGGATCCTTGTACAGCCCAGGCCTGGTCGCACCTCTCCCCCGCCCCACCCTCTCTCTCGCCTATCTCCCTCCAGTTCTCGAGAGCACGACAAAGATAACAGTTTTCCAGGAAAAGGGGCACAACGAGTCGCGACCTGACAGGAACACTTCACACCGGCCACAGGGGGATAGTCGAGACGGTCAGAGATAGTATGAGAGATGGTCGAGACGGTCAGAGATAGTATGAGAGATGGTCGAGACGATCAGAGATATTATGAGAGATGGTCGAGACGGTCAGAGATAGTATGAGAGATGGTCGAGACGGTCAGAGATAGTATGAGAGATGGTACAAGAGATGGTATGAGAAAGAGATGGTACAAGAGATGGTACAAGAGATGGTACAAGAGATGGTATGAGAAAGAGATGGTACAAGAGATGGTACAAGAGATGGTACAAGAGATGGTATGAGAGATGGTACAAGAGATGGTACAAGAGATGGTATAAGAGATGGTATGAGAGATGGTACAAGAGATGGTATAAGAGATGGTATGAGAGATGGTACAAGAGATGGTACAAGAGATGGTACAAGAGATGGTAT